TTTGACCTGTCACAGCATAAACCCGCTTCTAAGGTACTAGGATACTACCCTAGAAAAAACCAATGAGTTCACATACCTCGGAATGACGTTTGACACAAAGCTAACATGGAAAGTCACATTACTAAAATAGCAGAACGAGTCTCCAATAGGGTGAATGTCCTGAAGCGTCTTGCTGGTAGCGTATGGGTCTGTGCGCGCTCAACTCTAAACACCACTTACAAGATGTTTATTCACTAATAATGTTGTACTGCTGTGAGCCACTCATTACAGCCACAGTGGTGACCTTCAAACCACTCGAGAAGGCACACAACCAAGTATTACGACTAATTACTGGGGGGATAAAATCAACACCCATTGGTGCAATGCTCCTAGTTACGGGAAGCTCAACAATATGTTCCCTTATCAAAGAGAAGGCCTTGATCCTGAACGAGAAGCTACTGCGCATTCCCATGTACAAGTTCTTCAGCACTATGAAGAATAGACCAAGACATCTGATGAAAGCGTCACGCCTCGATGACAAACCAAAAAGCCTCTCTCTACCCATGAACCCTAGCAGACATTGATGTAGTGTGTCGCACCCAACTGCCGACTTCTTCAGGACTCCAGAGCAAATGCGCCATTTTTCAGGAAATCACAGCCCTTGAGACAATCAATGTCATAGATCAATGGCTCCAAGTCTTCACTGACAGAAAACCAAGCCAACGTTGGTGCACTCTTCACTGATGGGTCATACATAGAAAACCAAGCAAACATGGTGCAGGTGATCTATTCTGAACGCTTCTCTTTCTACGCAGCAGCGGGACATAATAGATCCGCTGGAAGGAGAAATAGAGGCCATTAGGATAGCACTATGCCAATTCTGTTGCCTAAATACGAATATTAGGATAGACTTGCCAATTATGTTGCCTGGATACGAAATTCATCAAAACGGTGATACTTTCGTACTCATAGTCAGCAATAAACTCTATTGGTAACAGAGAGACACCCAAAACAGCTGAGATAAAGGAATGTAAGATAGCCATCCAAAACAGCTGAGATAAAGGAATGTAGAAAACTGAAACACCCAAAACAGCTGAGATAAAGGAATGTAGAAAACTCTACTCAAAACAGCTGAGATAAAGGAATGTAGAAAACTCTACCCTGCTGTGTGAGAAAAACAAAATAGTGGTCCTACAATGGATTCCTGGTCTGAGACAGAAAAACAAAACAGTGGTCCTACAATGGATTCCTGATCAACGGTAATTAAAGGCAATGAGCTTGCTGACACACTTGGTAAGAAGGGGACAACGATTTTGAAATGCATGGCCCGGCCGATGTCTTTCCACAGAGGCCTTAATCAGAAGAGAATTCCAGACCTCAAGGTGCAAGACAGTTGGCACTCTCCGATATAACCGACTGGCCAGGAATCGAAGCCGTTGCTAGAAGCTCGAACAAAGGAGAAACAGTGGACAGTGGCACTCTCAACATACCCGACTGGCCAAGAATCGAAGCCGTTGCTGAGTTTAGAGTGGCACTCTACCACATAGCCGAATGGCCAAGAATCGAAGCCGTTGCTGAGTTTAGACTTTGGCCAAGAATCGAAGCCGTTGCTGAGTTTAGACTACGTACTGGACACGATTGCCTGGCAAAACACCTTCACAGATAGAGAGTATACACTCAACCCACATGCCCTCTGTGTAACCTACTTGAGTATATACTCAACCCACATGCCCTCTATTTAACCTGCAGGAGGAAATGGAGAAGACCCACCTGATTCGGATCCAGCATAAAGACAACGACGGAAAGCCAAAGATACTGGGAAGAAAGAAGACAGCTAACGATTTGCTACTAATTAACTGCTACATATGTACCCTCCACCTATGGGGGACGCTGAAGTCAAAGTTTAAGGGCTAATAAAAAATATCATAATGCCTGCCATTTGAATCAATTTTATAAATGAAAATTCTTTGTAGATTCGCTGTCAAAGCATTGACTTGAACAGTTGATTCCCTGAATTTTGGAAACTTAAGATTGTATAATATATTTTTAATGGTATTCGTTTGCAATAATAATTGACCAAATTTCTACGTCATTATTGCTAACGTGAAGAAATATGAAATTTAATAAATTGTCATAAATATGGTCACTGTCGTTTAAAGTTATGTTTTAATTTTTTTAATCTCTTAATAGTTTTTAGACATCTCATTTTAGATATTATTTCATTTATTATGTTTACCATTATGGCCAATGAAATAGTCACTCATTCTCAAATGCGTTATCTATCTGTCTTTGATGCCAATTGCTTCTCCGTTTTTTATTAGTCAAGGTGACGACTTATTCAAGCATACGAGATTCGTCGACGCATTAGCGACTCAATCGGACAATAATTGGATAAAAATGACTGATATGGCTGACGCGGAACGCACTCCTCTACTCAATGATGTTCAGGATTTTGGTTACACGCCTGGATTTCCCTCAGATGATTCAGTAGCAAATGCCAAATTTAATGAAGTTTTACAAGAAGCAATAGAAGCTATCAATTGCAATATTTTCCCCGAGAGAATTTATCAGGGTTCCAGTGGAAGCTACTTTGTAAAGAATCGTAATGGGGTACTTTTTTATTGTTTATGCTTTTGCAGAATTGTTTAAAATTTTTTGCCTCGCCACTCCTAGTTTCACTTAACTAAGTGCTCATTCAGCACTTTTGATATTTTGGGTTCATTTGAACCTGTAATGTTTTTTTGCAGGACAAAATTGCTGTCTTCAAACCCAAAGATGAGGAGCCTTATGGTAAACTCAACCCTAAGTGGACTAAATGGATGCACAAGCTTTGCTGTCCGTGTTTCTTTGGGCGAAGTTGTCTAGTCCCCAATCAAGGTTATCTTTCCGAGGTCGCCGCAAGTCTCGTTGATGAGCGTATGGGTTTAAATATTGTTCCCACAACGAAAGTGAGTTTTGCCAGTCTTCTTTTATGTTTTACCATCACTTCAACACCATAGATTTAAAACATTTGCTTATCATAATTTGTTTTCGTTGTTTTCTAGGTTGTCAAGTTAGCCAGCAAGACCTTCAATTATGGAGCAGCGGCTCGAGCTGCATCAACAACTAAACAGAGAGTTGCAGATCGTTTTCCCGATTTGGGCCGACACTTCCACAGACTTGGACTTCCTCCCAAAGTGAGCTTATTTTTCGTATTTTTTATTTGTGTAAAATTTAAGATTTCCTTTTTTACATGTAATTAATTCTTTGAATGCGATATACCTATTATGACGTTATTCTAAGCAAATTTGGTTTATTTACTTGTGGTTTGATTATTCACGTTTTAATTTTTAAATTTAATCTTTGGTTATGGTCCTATATATATATATATATATCGAGTACGTTTGTGGAATGTCTATTTGTTTGTTTTCAATTTAATAATCAGTTGCGACTCGATGGCATATGTTTATTCTCTCCTTATGTTCGATTTTGTTAGGCGCTTGGTTCTTTACAACTTAAAAGGAATGCTTGTCTTTGTTTAAAGCGTATCTTCGACACTATCTTTGCGCAACATTAAGGCTTTTTCCTTATTAATTAATTGGGTGGCTGTTCTACTGAAGTGTGGCGTCCAATTCTACTTTTCTTTTCAGGTGGGTTCCTTCCAATTATTTGCATCTGGTTGTCAGGATGCCTATTATTGGCTTAATCGATTCAATGCCGAGCCTTTACCCGAAGAAGCTCAAACGAATCTTCAATTGCAATTTGAGAAACTTGTTGTCCTTGACTACATTATTCGTAATACTGGTGAGCACGTTGTGATGCTAATTGTCTTTTCAATCACTGTTTTGAGAGCTACGGATTCTGATCTATATAATTATATTAATGTGCTGGTTTACTCTCATAAATGTCTATAAGGGAAAATATTTTCTTTCAATAAGACTGTGATTTACGCTTTTTTATGTAATAGTTTTCGATTTATCTTTAACCCGGTGTATTTGGTACGTATTGGACGAATTTGGGGGTTGATTATACTTTAAAGGCTGGGCTCCTATTGATTGGGATTTATAACTACATAAAGCTTTTCATGCAACCGCGGGACTTGTTTTTTTTACCATTCAAATGTAGTTGCACTTCTCACCATCTCTATTTTTTTGGAAAATATCTGATTACTACGAAGTCCCTTTCTGTGACACCTAGTGGGGACTAAAGTTGAATTAGTTCTGTCTTGAATTTACAACGACTTAAATAATTTAAATTCATTTACGTAAATCTTAGGCATTGTGTCGTTTTTTAATATTGCATTGAACCTGTATCTTATTCTGTCCACAAACTTATCAATCCTGCCTCCATATGGTCACTGCACCATGCACCGGAAATTACTCTCTATGAGTTATTCTCTCTGACTATTTAGTGCTAAAACTCATTTCCGAGAGGGTTTGATAGCTTGAGTGTTAAGTCTGTCTGTAAAATTCTTAAGTAAAGACGACATCGAACGTGCGTGTTGGGGGGGGGGGGGGGGGGGGAGGGGGATGTGTAGCTAGAGGATGAGGTGAATGGATTTTTGTTACTTCCGATTTTAGATTGAGAACTTCACCAGTTGATTAGTTTTAATTGGTGTATACTTTTCATAAACTAGTGTTAAGATTCACCTTCCTGTACACTCAGTCTAGATAGGGTGGAAAGCATTTACGACACAGCTCAGATATGGTTCAAGAATTCTGCTTTTGCACATTTATCTTTCATGTTGCTCGGTCATTTCGTAATCTATAATGTAAAAGATGGTATCCTATAGTAGTTCCCAGGAAGACCTCTGGTATTTTTGGTCCCCTCATCATGGAATTTTAAGTAGCACTAATTTCGACATGAAAGCTAATTCAGGGGGCCAGACCAACTTAGGCCTTATATCCCCTCTTAGAACCAGTGAGCTTCCTGAGACTATCAAGAAACAAAAGTCTTGCTCAAGTGAGAAGTTTAACTTTTAGTTTGAATTATGTGTACATTTCACAGATAGAAATTAATGGAAGTGAAAAGAAGGAGAGAGGGGGTGGGTGGGAGTAGAAAAATGATTTGGGAGAGGTGGTGTCAACACTGAGTAAGTGCAGCCCGGGTTGTTGGGCTGAAACGAATCTATTCATAGTGATGGAGCTGCTTGGTTGTGTTCTTTGTGAGCCGATGAACAACCATTAGACAATTAAAAACTTAATATAACTTCAGTATGAACACATTAAAAAACGCTCTAGGCATTTTTGTGAGTCAAAATGCGCATGGACTAAAAGTCCCATTCTTACATTTTCTTGCTATGTAGTAATGTTTGTTCTTTTACTTATGATTTAGACAATTCACCATTTTAAAAGTACATTTATCAAGTTTACTATTTATTTCACGATAGCCAAATATTTCCAGTAAAATAAATTGAAATTACTGCAGGCTCTGAGATCATGAAGATCTCATTTTGAACATTAATGTATGTGTTTCGAGTTATTCGTTATGCTAGCATTTCTTATTGCACCAATTTATCGTATGAACACTTTACTTTGCAAGTTTGCATTTCTCATTTCTCGATTTAAGTTTGGCTCTTTTATTGAAACAAATTCGAGAATTCTTGTTTGTGTGTATAGTAGCTTTGCTATGAAAAGTCGGTGTTTGCTTAATCTAAATTTACGGTTTTTCTCTTCTGTAGACAGAGGTAACGACAATTGGTTAATTCGCTATGAAAAGCCTGAGGAACCAGAAGTTGCACAGTCACTTCAAGAAAGTGTACGTTTATTTACCTTTCTTATTTCTGCATCTCCGCCTTGTTTCGTTCGTTAATGCTTCTTATATCTCTCTTGCTTGCTGTTTTAATGCTTTTAATTTTTGTTGCCTTACCAAATTGGGGTCTATTTTGAGGTTTAGACAATGAATGCTACATATCAATGTAGTTAATTGGTTTTAAATGGACTCACAACAGAATATTGAGGTATTGTTGAATTTACTATTCTTCTCCTGTCCCAAAATGAGAATGTGCAGTTGGATATTCTATAATTGTTCACTGTTGTGGTGTGTTTATCATGGTAGAATTTCGATTCCAGTCTGCTTACTTCAAAGTACGTTAGATATGCATCGGCTGAACGGAGATTACTATTCCAATACTTCAATACTTAAAGACAAGGATTTCTCCGGAGGTTTAGTCATTTAAAATATGTAAAGTCGTTAGAGTCGGTTGCAGTAAACTTTGAGCACTGTTGAGTAAAGAGTTTCGCTTTTGTTGTAAGTGGTTCGATTATTGGGGGGGGGGGGGACTTGATTTATATGTTCTATTCTTTGTCGTATCCTTCAAATATTTGCCTTATTTCGTTCGAATCGCGTACGTTTGAAAAATTGAGTCTTAGTACCTCTCGCTAATTTAAGCTGCTTTATTTGTGTTCTAAGTCCATGTGACACTGCAATTCAAATACTGTTTGTATACTATTCAGTTTTACTTCGCTTTTCCATAGCCATGTGGTCTATACTGGTGTTCTATAAAGGCGCGTTCATTTTTCATGCGCTTGATCCATAATCTCTCATGTTATTTAACATTTTAAGTTTATAATTCTCGACTGCACATTGCGCTGCTTTATCTTTCAAAACGTACCGGTTAATTTCTGGTTTTCCTCAAACACCTCGTGATTTATCTTTCATCTGGCTAATTCATGATCTACGGTTTCCCATAGCCATTGCAATTATGGATTTTTTTCTCAAGCACTTTTTCGAAATGCCTCTAACTAGGGTTATTTCAATCGCAATTTTACATTTGTTTAGTTGAGTTCACGCGTTCTTTATTCATTTGTACACATTCAGTCGATGATACTTTCAACTTTAGTATCATCTTCTTCGTATCTAGGTGTCTCATATGTACCTCAAGACGATAGAACAAAGAGGGAAGATCGTCTGATTTATAATAGAGAAGACCAGAAGTGTAGTTGTGTGTAGGTACCTAGCTGCCATAAATGCGATTGATGCAGCAGTTTATTGTGGAGGTGTGCAGAGGGAAAGAGAGAGGGAGAGAGAGGGTGTTTAAATACTTGTGTGTACTCTGGGTATAAACAAATTCGTTTCCTGCATTTAGGTGTAGCTCAGATTATTTGATTGCAGATCATGAGTGACAGTATCGGATAACGAATTAACTGGTATAGTTGGCCTTACTTGTAGTGGAGGGATTGAAAAACATTTGTACGGAAAATAAACACGGAAATACTCATGTTTTAGGAAAATATTGGTATAATTTTCAAGAACTATTTTTGAGGATGAAGATTAAAAGCCCAATTTAAGGAAAATAGAGAATGATAAGTCGTCTAATTCGATAGTCCCTCAAATACACCATCCGGCACAGGATTTAGGATTTTTCTTAATTTGGCATCTTATTTACTCCTTTAAATAGAGCCTTATATGTAGTAATTTTCTCGCAAAAGACCTTAACTGAAGTGGGGATTATTGCGTAACATTTGCAACCTTGTATATATATATTTTTTGAGGGGGGCTATCTCTGTTCACAGCCCACAAAGATTACTGGAGCGTACATAAATCTGTAACTTCAACTCCAACGCTAAGGGTGTGCGCTTTATTAGCGTTTAACTATGCGGAATTTATATGTGTGTGTGCTTTGTTCACTTACACTTTTGGAATGTTTATCTCGAAACGGTACAAACTTTGTTCGCTGATTATTTAATTTAATCATATGTCAAACGCTTGTTTATAATATTCGTAGACCTGTGCCTTTTTTGAATAGAGGGTAAGAGGTTTCTGCGCATGTGAGTCTGAATTTTTACCCACTCACTACTCATGTTAAGTTGAACTCTAGTAAGTTTATCCTTCCGATGTATGCATCATCCTAAAAGTCTCAAAGATAGGTGGATAAAGAACTTGAAGTTGCGGTTGAGTTAACATCTTTAAATTGGACGCTTGAAATCTTTGCTTTTCGTGATTTGGGGAGCAGTGGTCATGAATTTGGCAG